TATTATTATTTTCATACTTTTTTATACAAAGCAGTAAATGTCTATACCGAGCATTTTCATAAAACCCAGCTGAGTATAGACCTGTCTACAAACACAATGTGGTTATGTGAATGTTAAATAACAGAATTGTGAAGAGCCTTGAACTCTAAAACAGTACCGAGGTCCAGTCCACTCACAAGCTAATGAAACCCTGGAGAGATCCAAGCACAAAAACACTGCAGATTGGAAAAACAGGAGACACAGTGTGGACTCGTCTTCATATGCTAACAACCAATGAGGTTACACTAGAGGGAAGCACAAAGCACGTTCAATTCAAACGTGTAGCCAATCAACGGCTGCCTTGTGATTTCATGACTCATCCTTCACATATCTGGGAGATGATTAGTTTATGCCGGTGTTTCAAACCCGTTGACCTGTGGTGGTTCATCATCAGGCCTGCCAAGCTCTCTGTCGGAGCTCCACCTGGACAGCAACAAAATCAGCAAGGTGATGGCCGACAGCCTCAAGGGCATGAAGAACCTGGCCAAGTAAGGATCCACCCATCTACGTTATCAAATGTATCTATCCATCCATCTGTCCATCCATGTAAAATATGCATACATACATCCATACATCTATCCAGCTATATGGCCATCCATCCATTTATACATACGTCCTCTATCCATCTGTCTAATATATCCATCCATCCGCACATACATCCATCCGCACATACATACATACATACATACATACATACATACATACATACATACATACATACATACATACATACATACGTATGTCTGTCTGTCTGTACGCCTGCCTGTCTGTATGCCTGTATGTCTGACAGAATCTCCCAAACTCAAGTAGTCTGTCTTTACTTTATATGAATGGCACGTCATTAATGTGGCATTATCCCCAGTGGTGTGTGATAAACCACAGACCCAAACAGTACTTTCGATATAATCAAAATCACTGTTTTGTTTATAAAAATAAAAAAATAACGCTATGTTTAAAAAGACCGTTGTCCGGATGGCACAGGGGAGGTAAACAGGCCCCGCTAACGAGAACAAAGAAGACTTTTATTCGGCACAAATTGTTTGTGTTGGAATAGATGAGCTCTGAGGAGTGGAAAGTTGAGCAATGCATCACTTAAGGTGATGTCTTACAGCTGCAATGAGTTATTTTCCGTATTACCATTGGTACTACAACCTAAAGTAATTTAAGTCTCATGCTATTTGAACAGCTAATTTCATAGGCTACACGATCAGGTTTGTAATAAATGATGTCCTCTCCAAGGGAAACGGATACTGCCGCAATTTTGCAAGGTTGTTAATAATATTACAGCGAGGCCAACGCTTAAGGCCAAAGCACACAGGCCGTGTCGCGACAAACGCAATTTAACGTTCTTAAATGTTCTCATCCAGAAGCACAGACCTGAGCGCTATTTGGCGGAAACAAGTTGTTGTTTGTGTTGCGCTACAAATATGAGGTGGAATTCACACTCCACATCCATTGGGCTTCACATGGATGCGATTAAATCACATCTCTGGGAGTTGCCATGGAAATGTTAAGTGTCTAGTAGGTCTGCCTTTGCTCTTATTGATGTGTTTTCATTCACGTGTCCTGTGTGGGCTGGCAGGCTGGGTCTGGGCTACAACGAGATCAGCATGGTGGAGAACGGCACCCTGGCCAATGTCCCCCATATGAGGGAGCTGCACCTGGACAACAACGCCCTGACTGCGGTCCCGCCGGGCCTGCCTGAACACAAGTACATCCAGGTACAGAGGGACACAGACTTTATTATCTTCAATTTCACTTTGCAACCCATATTTATAGTATGTTTTGTCCTAGTTTTTCTACCTGGATATAGTATTTTATTGTACAGAGACCAGTCCAAGGCAAGTCATTCTATGGCCCAGTTCCGGGAAATACTTTGATTAACTAACTCTTATCTCGGATATTACATCATTTTTCTATCGTACCTTATATTTATGACCATTTAGTATGTTGATAATCTTCCTTCATATAAGTTTTAAAACCGCTTTGGCAATGTCAAATGTTTTCCATGTCAATAAGGCTCTTTTGAATTGAAAAGAGAGATAGAGGTAGTGAGAGAGAGAGAGAGAGAGAGAGAGAGAGAGAGAGAGACGTGGCGACATAATCACCAGTGTGTTAAAAAAACCCCCGTAATTTTCGTAATTTTTTTCAATTCTGGGCCATTACTGCTTGCCTTTACTAATTATACCCATTTTAAGCTTAAGCTTCGTAAACACAAGCTTTCCCCAGCATTAGTTTTGTTACTTATTACTTCACTTGTGATCCTTTATTTCCCCTTAAATGACAAAAAATAACAACTTCGCACACTGTGCCGTTGTTTAAAAAAAACCAAAACCCATCGGTGTGTCTATTGGTGACAAGTAAACACACGTCCTGGTTTCCGTCTCCGTCTCCATCAGGTGGTGTATCTCCATGCCAACAAGATCGCCGCCATCGGCACGGAAGACTTCTGTCCACCGACCTTCAACTACAAGAAGGCCATGTACTCTGGCATCAGCCTGTTCAGCAACCCCGTCCCGTACTGGGAGGTCCAGCCCATCACCTTCCGCTGCGTGTTCGACCGCTCCGCCATCCAGCTCGGAAACTACAGGAAGAAATAAATATTACAACAAATAAAATAATAAAAAAACGTCCCCCCGTCCACCCACACCATCAGCCATCACTCCCCCCCCCCTCCCTCCCTCCCCCCTCTATCTCCATCTCCCACCCCCACTTTTGGCAGAAAATGCGTGTTTGAGTATCAGTGTGTGAAAGTATTTTTGTTATCATTTTTGGGTTTGCTTTTTTTAAAGTGTGCTTGGTTGACCCCCCCACCCCCACCCCCCCCCCCCCCCCCCCCTCCTACACTGATCTGACCCCCCCCCCCCCTCCCCAAGACAATCATACCAGTGACTTGGATGTGTGAAAACCCCAGTGGACGCTGATCCCAGACACAAACGCAACAAGTCCGCTCCACAGGGGGTTATTGGTGTTGGTGTAGTATGCAGCGTATCAGTATGCAGCGTATCGGCGTAAAACAGTCACTGCTTTATCTGTAACACCTCACTGTGTCCAGCGCTATGCTAGCCCGCGTTCCTCCAGCCACACCGACGATATACCGCATTTGAAAAATAATTTTTACGTAGAAATATAACTGATGAAGTCAATTTTTCGCTTCATAATACATATCTACCATATTGTGCAATTCACGCGAATGAAAAAAGTTAAACCACGGGAACAAAATGATACTACAGTAGTGTAACCACTTTTGAACAAATAAATAAATTTGAATTTAATTTTTGAAAATGTTGGATTACCTGAAGCCCGAAGCCATCATGTGAACTAAGTGTGAGAAGGCTGGCCTGTAGAGCAGGCAGCGGAAGAGATTATCTTCGCCGTACCGGTATGCTACAACATTCATTGTATTACTATAGTCGTAGGAATAGCCATGCGGGGTGTACCAATACCGTTCTGCACTCCTAAGACATATTTCTACCTTGTATTGTTCAAGTAGAGATAAAGTGCTGTCTTCCATCTCGTTGTGATTTCTCTCGTGCTTGCTTCAGTGTTGTGTTTCCACGTTTTCTACGTTTGGTTTTGGGGTTTCTTTTTGTTTTTTGTTTTTTTTACAATAATCACCATTTTCTTCTTCAACACATTCCACAAAAAAAATAGCTTCTCAATGAACAGTTTCCACAGGAAAAAGTAGCTTCTCAAGATGCAGAATGAATGAGTTTGTGTTTTTGAAATGAAAGCCATCGCCAAAGACTTATATGCATGCTTTGTTTTATTCTTGGTTTTGTTATTTTCTCTCCTTCAACATGAAGCAGGCGGTTTCTGTTCACTTTTTGATTTTTTTTTTTTAATGCGTGTTATGTACCGTTTTTCTTCCTAATTCTTTTCCTTATTAATTAAGAGCCTGCTAAACTAATTGAATATTATATGTGGACTCGCATGGCCACGAGATTTATGTTAGTGATGTTATATGTATAGACGCTGTATATAAATGCTGTATGAAAAAAAAAAAAGGAAAACAACCTCTCTTTTTGCTTAAAGGCACAAGCACTTAACATCGCGCAGATTTAAAATCATCAGCAACAAAAGGTTTCCTTTTATTCTTCTTTTATCTCGGAGCGAGGGCTCCAGCTAAGGTGTCCTTCACAAAATAAAAGTACTAATGAAAATGGCGCCGTCTTTGATGGGTAAAAAACAACCTGCCAATGGAAATACTGTGTCCAACAGTAGTTTGGCGGTCCATATATCAACAAAATATCTGTGGTTATTATTTCAGAAATGAAAAAAAAGGGACACATTTTGCCAATTATCTTGGTAAATGTAGCGCTGTAGTGAAAGATTGAGCCCAATGGTTTACTATGATGTGTTCTAAGCTTTGGTGAACCATAGGGAATCGATCTATATCGTATTGATAGCCTATCGTGTATGATGGGTCATGCCTGCTGATACAGTCGATAGATGGACCCAGTGTCGCAAGGTCGTGTCACAGCCGATCAGATAGACAACATTCATGAGCCAGCTACAACCTTTGCCATTTCAAAATCTATTCATATATTTTTGAAATCCTATTTTTTTTTATTTTAAACCGTGACATTTCCAGGGACAGCTCCAGCCGGGGACAGGCCACCAGAAACGAGGACTGTCCTTAGGAAACGGGGACATCTGGTCACACTAGTATAGACCCACACAAGTATAGGGACCCTGGTCGTGGCTACGCGATGGCAACTGCACTGTCTGAAGAAAGAGGTGGAGGGGGGGGGGGGGGGGGGGGGGGGGGGTGACTAAGTCTTGGTGAACAGGGTCGAGAGGAGAAAAAGGTTAGGGGACATGAGCCACACATGGATTAATGCACACTATTTGTAGTTTAGCATTTATTGTTGTCAAAAGCGACTTCCACTGAATGCAGCAGATCCAGGCCATTACTGAGCAGGTTAGGCCATCTTGCTCAAGGACGCCTCATCGGTAGGTGGAGGACATTGGGCATCGAACCCAGTACCTTTCGGCTGGGAGTCGAACACCCTCCAACCACAAGGCTGTCCTGCCCTCACAAAATATTACAACATCATCAACATCATCAAAAATGAAAAATTAGGGTGCAAAAATGATCATCCAATTATATCCCAGTAATAATGATTCATCATATTGCAATCGCAAAATCTTTCCTCACAAAGAACCACCATAGTAGCATCTATTGAGCTAGCATACTCCACCATAGCAGTGAGCTAGCATACTCCACCATAGCAGTGAGCTAGCATACTCCACCTTAGCAGTAGCACCTGTTGAGCTAGCATACGTTAGCGGGCACATGGAAGGCGCTAGAAGGATAAAGAGGTAAGATTGTTTTGCTATTGCAATGGGCAATCAGACAAGGATTGATTAAAAAATTGAAAAATGATTCAGGCTAATGCTTAAATTGTTTTTAAAGTAAAGTAGCGTATGTGTGTTAGTAGATTTGAATCAATGCAACATTTGGTCAGCGGTTGAGTTGAAGAGTTTTCAGCAGCGTGTCTGTTGTACGTTAAAGTCGTCTGCAGGGCTGCAATTAGAAAAACGAAAAGCCAAAGAGACATCCAATCCAATATCTTGACATGTGTAGCCATCTGGTAAGTATTAATAAACTATTAGAGCATATTTCAGTTTAAAATCCACCCTTAAATTCTCCCCTCAAAACCGTCCTCGTCTCCTTGAAACCTTTGAGTTTCTGTGCCCGGTTTCTACGAAGAAATTCCTTGAAACAATATGATTTTTGTTTTTTTTGTTTTACCATCTGGTAACGATAAAGACGCGCTCATGTGACCTCTCCGCAACTCACAAGTTATGAAAGCAGCTGAACCGGAGGCTGTGTACACGCAGCAGCGGCAGAGGAACGATACGGGCCATACGAGACGATAATAGGGCTCGCATGAGGATAATATGTTGTACGTGGCGTGTTGACATGGACACGGTTGGCACATACAAGCACAGCATTCACACTGGGTGGTGTTTTTTGTTTGTTTTTGTAGGACAAACAAACAGCTGAGTAGCTTGTGAGGACCTGTGTGCATGTATGCATGTATGTGTATTAGAGATGGGCATAGATTAAAATATTTAATCTAGATTAATCTAGACTAATCTTGAAATTAATCTAGGTTAATCTAGGTTAATCTAGATTAACGTGGCTCCTTTGAATGATGTCGAAGGTGTCCATAATGTGTTTGCTACCTAAATAATGACTTATATTGCCTAAATAATGACTTATATTACCTAAATAATGACTTATATTACCCAAATAATGACTTATATTACCTAAATAATGACTTATATTACCTAAATAATGACTTATATTACCTAAAAGATGACTAAAAGTGGGTGGTGTGGTGATTGTTGAGCGGGGGGGGGGGGGTGCTACGGAGCTTTTTGTTGAACGGGAGTGCTACGGAGCCTTCAGTTGCCGAATTGTTGAGCGGGGGGGGGGGGGGGGTGCTACGGAGGATTTCGGTTCGCGATAATTATCGCAGAGAAAAATATTATCGCCGATAAAAATCTCGCGTTATCGCAGCTGATAACGCCGTTATCGGCCCATCACTAATGTGTATATATGGAGTGATCTACTATATATTGGATTGAGCCAGACTCTGCAGGCCTGAGGACTCTGCAGGCCTGAGGAATGAAGCCACCTGTGGGTTCAAGTCGTCGTCTCGCTCCGAAGGAAACCCGAGAAACCTTTGCTCCTAATTTATGCTCATGGTCACCCGCTAAAGGTAAAAAAAAAAAGACACAAAAAGGCATATTTATGCAAGCACTGGGACCATTCACAACCTCTGTATGGGGCTAATGATTTAGTACCTTCCAACACACATGCACAAACACACACAGATGCCTGCACGCACACACATGCACGCACATGCACACACGCACAAACAGACACATGCACACACACAGGCCTCATTAGCAGGTATGCACCAGGAAATGCACAACTCAAGGGAGGAAATGGCGACCGGGGAGAAAGTGTAGGGAGTGTGAAACTAGTTTAGAGACGCCTGCCATTAGTTCTCAGGAGGGAAAAGCCTTATGGTTCCTCTCACACGCCACACATCCATCTCTTTAATGAGAAGACATAGGCCTACGGAGGCGCAGCAGGTAGACTCACTGTCCCCCTTCAATTACGTTACAAAAACTCGGTCGAAATACGCAAGGTATGGAAAATGGACAATTTGTCCCGTCTCCCAGACAGCTCCGAGACAGAAGCTTACGCACACCTTCCTTCGCACGCGCCACAGTAGCACTCCTAATCCGGCCTAGAAGTATAAAAGGTCCCATTTCCATATAAAAACAGACGCATGAATTATACAGACTGTTCCTAAACCTATAAAAAAAGAAGTGCTGATTTAACAAACGGAGCCTCGCGTTTTGATTGGCTCCGGGATTTAGGCCGGCCAGACGTGATTGGCTGTCTGGGTTCGAGGATGGATGGAGGAGCCAGGTTCCAGAATGCAACAGCAGTGTTAGGAGGGCTGGAGGGTCCCAGCGGCGTCCCTGCCTGTCTGCTTCTATCTAATGCCCCCGTGTGGTGAAACACGGTAGGACACCTGACCTCCTTCAACCTCTACCCCTCTTGTTTCTTAAAGACATACATACACACACACACACACACACACACACACACACACACACACATTCATGTACCATATATCCACCACGCTTACACGACACAAGGCTCAAATCCCCTTCTTGTATCTCCAGGACGCAAAACAATCGTCTTTGCATCTCAGTGTGGATTCTCCCACGCATGTGCGAATGCACGTCAACCACCCTGCTGTGTGCAAGGGTGGCTGTGTGTGTGTGGGTGCATGTGCATGTGCACGTGCACGAGCACATGCTTGCGCGTGTGCAATAGTGCGTGTGCGTGTGGGGTTATGTAGGTGCGTCCATCTGTTGGTTGTGTGTCAGTCTTATGTAACCATGGTAACCTGAGCTTTACCCACTCAGGGGGGAAGGAGAAAAAAAAGGAAAGGATCATGCAAGACAGCCAACCTTAAAACACACACAGCTAAGGGTTATGTCCAAGTTTCTAAAGCACACCAAAATCACACAGCAGTGCTAAAGACACTGAAAATAATGTTTTATATCAATTCAAATGATATTTATATGGTATATACTGTATTTTACATACTACTCTGTCTCGTTTTAGTGTATGTGTGTATGCATGTCTAACTGCATAGTGTATGAGTGTATTTCTGTGTGTTTGTAGGGGTGCTAGGTTAATGTGTGTGTGATAAGTGTGTGTGTGTGTGTGTGTGTGTGTGTGTGTGTGTGTGTGTGTGTGTGTGTGTGCATGTGTGTGTGTTACTATTCTTGACCGATATAGACCAAACAAACTTGATCAAGAGTTGCGTCTTTAACCAGTGTGTGTGTGTGTGTGTGGGCTATCTGTGTCTAAAGTCTTTTGATCCACTTCCAAGCTAGAATCACATGTCGACCCGTGTGGGTGTGTGTGCGTGCATGCATGCGTTTGTGTGTTTGTGTAGGCCAGGTCTCTGTGTTGATCACATGACCTGCAGAGGGGAGCAGGATGTGGTGCCTGAGACGCTGTATGTTGAGGGGCCACTGTGTGCACTACTGTACCACCACATCCAGCTGTTGTTTCCCACGCCTGTGTTGATTGAGGAGTTTCTTTCCCCAGAACACCAGGTGTTCACAGGCCCCCCCCATCTCACCAGGGCCCCCACCAAGGTCCATACAGTACCCCTTATGCGCACACACACACACACACACACATAAATATACATATCGCAACTGTACATATATTGTTGCTCCTTTTTTATTGTAAATACTGCCGCTGTTGTTTTTGCACAGGATTTGGACGTGAGTAAAATACTACCAAAAATGGTGGGGAAAAAAGCGGAAATCAAGTCAATTTCCACAAAAACAACCACATGAAAAGTTGGTCCATTTATGTCATTAGTCCTTTTTGGACCAAAAATGCCAAATGACGTTAATGGTCCAACATTTCTATGATTGTTTCACCGAAACAGAGTTGATGTTGCAGACCGCAATTGTTTCACAACACGCGTATGAAAGTACTCTCTTATGTCAGAAAATACCTGAGCGTCATGATTCCCCTTTAAACGTGTCAAGATTTAGTGCAATAAAAAACAGATATGAGCGCTTTATTTTAACTTTTCTTAGATTGTTTGAATGTTTTCCGTCTTTTAACAATATTTTCCAACACAAATGAACAAATTAATTAAAACTAATAGCGTGTGTTGTAATGCACACCCTATTAGTACCATAATAAAGGTCAGTGAATAGACTTGAGGAAAACAACATGGTCAGCCAAAATGTCTGCCATTTGGTGCAATGGAAAGGATGTGAGAGCATGTGGTAGACGTCAACACGTCGAGCGGTGCCGTCTAAAAACCCAAAATGTCCTGACCTCTACGCCTTACGAATCGGAAAACTGTGCAAAAACAATGCTTGGAAAAGTACACTAATGGCTCATAGAAAGGAAGACTTAAATATTAGGTTAAGTGTGCAAACATGGGCTCCCACAGGAATGATGACTGCGAGTTTATTTGTGCCAGTGTCAGGATTTGGCGAGTTAAGTATGTTTCTGTTCATCTATGTGTCAGGAAAAATCATAATTTACAACTTTAAGGGGGGAAAAAATACACAATAAATTTTCAAAGCAGACAGTAAGAGCTTCAGGCAAAGATGAGTTTACCTGAAGACCACAAATGTTGTTTATTAGTCTGTACAGTATTTATTAACATGTGTTAAGTCCACTACAAGGACCATGAAGCCCTGACCTGCTTAATACTTAAGGTGGCCCTTTGAGGACATACATCTGGACTTGTCTCTTGTAGTGTTGGTGAGATGGGGAAGTGATAGGGAGGGGATGTGAGAGAGAGAGAGAGAGAGAGAGAGAGAGAGAGAGAGAGAGAGAGAGAGAGAGAGAGAGAGAGAGAGAGAGAGAGAGAGAGAGAGAGAGAAAGAGAGAGATGAATCACAGGAGTGAGGAACACAAAGAACAAATCTCACAAAACTTTGCTAAAAAGGTACA